ATTTCATTTTCCCTTAGGGATTTGGCTTGGATTGTTACTCAATTTACTCCCTTAGCTTTCTTATACCTATTGCATCTTTTTTTGTTGTGTTTGGGTAAACTTTAACCTTGATAAAAAGATAGTGCTACGATATAATTTTGTGCTGTCTGCTACAAATATTTCAAGAAAACTGATAAGGGCAATATTTTTCCTGTTCAATATCTAGATCATATTTCACAAAAATATTCTCCATATGTTATATCTTTTTTAGAAAACCTAATAGCAAACACCAAAGGAGTTTTACCTAAACCATAGTAGTAAAAATCATACAAGCATTAGTGCCTGTGGTTGCCTAACCTTTGCTTGGGCAAGTAAATAATTTAAGCAAAGATCGAATTTGGAAGGATTCATTTTGTGTAGGGAGTTGGGTATAATTAATTATAAAATAATTAATTAAATGTTTGATTTAATCATAATTGATTATATTATAACGCAATATGTTTGAATATTATTTTTTTAAAATTAATTTTAACATAATTAAAAATATTTGGATAATTTAATTAAAATCAATTTTAATTGTATAAATTGCCATAAAAGACATTCTTTTTAAAATTAATTTATTAATATATTTGTATCTAATATTATTAATTTGTTAAATTTTATTTAAGAAGTAAAATATATTATTTAAATTACATGTCTGATTAATTATAAAAATTTAAATTATATTAATAATAATAATTTAATTTATGTAAATAAATAACTCAAAATATCTTAGTTCAAATAAATTTAATAAAAGAAGAAGATTTAATTCCTAAATACTAAATATTAATTTTATAATAACTAATAAAAATGATAATATATAAATTAATCTCAAATGATATCATGGATATGAGCCATATCTGTCAAAGATATTAATTATTGTATTAAAATTTTAGCAACATAAAAAATGTAGCAATGTAACAAATTTCTCAAAATCTCTCTCTCTAGACCTTTGCAACAATATTTATAATGACTCTAAATTTTAAATTAAATTAAATTAATTTTTTTCTACTAATTAATATTTTATTTAATTAGTTTTATTGTAAGTGCTTAGTTGAGAGTAGTGATTGATAGGAACTTATATTAACAACTTTTGAGAGGATCCAAGTTTAAATTTTATTTAAAAAAAAAAAAGAGAAGAGAAGAGAGTTTGATTTTATTTTTATTAAATTTGTCTTTTTATGATTTTTGTCTTGAGCCTTTCTTTATAATTTTTTCTAATGCTTTTAATCATCTTTTTAGCAAAAGCTGTCAGATAGATTATAAGAAAACACGCGTTTTGGCTGATGAATCATTGTCGGCTTTATTTACTGTTTGGATAACTGGCCAAAAAATTGATTTTGGGCTAATTAATTGATTATGGGCCTTATCCAAACATAGACTAAGTTGGTTTTATTCTTGGGAATGTTTCTTAAAACTATTGTGTTGTTTTGTTTGGGTATTTTCAGGGTTTTTTCATAAAGAAAGTCACTTTTTATTGTCAACTTATGTAAGGATTATTAGATTATAGATGTGATGTCCTATTTTGTCCTGACTATAAAATAGATACTATGGTTAATAGGTAGAATTTTGCTTCCTTGATAATAGAATTCTTTTGGCGAAAAAGAAATTCACTTCTTGCCTGATTCTACCATATTCAATATCCACAAGAAGTATTCTAACAGTTTAAATTTGTAACCAAATCTTTTTATTCATTATGGGTGTGTTGAAAGCATATCCAATCACATGCCATTTTTGGATGTCATATTCTAACAGTTTAAATTTCTTCAGCAACTGCCATGATAAAGATAAGGGATTGAAGAGGTTATGATCTACGAGGATGTGCAACCTGATGATGATGAATGAGGCAGTGATTAATGATATGTATCTTTTGTCTCATTCTTATATGCGGAGAATAAGGATGGAAGAATCGAAGCTGATGCAACTTGGATTTGAGGATGCCTCGATATCTAATTCAAAATCCGAAAAGATAAACCCAAAATTGAAGACAGAGAATTTGATGTATAGTACAAAGTTAATGAAGGCGCTACTTAGGTATGAAAATGGGGTGATGAATGATCTTGGCCATCCTTCGATGCTGCTTCAGGTTCCATTGTCTCCTCTGTGGTACATCTCTTTTATTCCTGTTGTCATTCCAAATTTTATGGATTCAGAATGGTATAATGGCTTGCACTCTATTTTTATGTTATTTTAGAACCTGTGCCGTTAGATGTAATCATGTAATTGAGGATTGGATAAAGCATAGCTATTTGCTTGGGATTTTTGTGTGCTGCCTTTTGCCATTGATCTTATAATTTGGAATTATGTTGGATTTGGACAGGTCTCTGAGAGTAATAGGATTACAAACAATGATGTTGAACAGTGCACTTCCACTATGGAAGGCAATGGTTGTTTTTATTTTGTGGCTACTATCGAAGGGGCAATGCACTTCCACTTTTGAAAAAATTAAGGGGATAATTGTTAGGATGACTATTGAAAATAAAGCAAAGGATATCATGGCTCAAATGCTTCTGTTGTCACTTGTATAAGTTTTCCCTTTTCTATGTTAAGTCCTAATGCATTCTCGAATTTAGCTTTCCCTCTGTTGAAGCTATCTAAACTCTTTGTTTTGCTATAGTTTTGTAATACTAAAAAGAAAACATCAACATGTAAAGCTGATAAAGAATAGAGGGGGAAGGTCTACCTTGTTTAATAGTTCAGCCATCGCCCATCAGACCACTGTCTACAACTAAAGGACAAAAAATTAACAGTAAGACGGAGATTGAATTGTATGCCTCATTTCTGTTGTTGCCTATAGGCCTTTATATAGGATGCACAATTGCAATGCAACCCATATTCTTAGATCATTATCATGTTTTCTAAAATTCTTGATGCATAGCCTGCAAAACTTCAGAGATTGTGAATTGCGATGATATACCAACTGCAATTAGTATACTAATATTTGCCAAGTGCTCATATTGTATCACATTCATGCTTTATGTTTTTGCACAACCTTTTCTTTGTATGCTTGCAGCAAGTCTAAATTTGTCATGTATAAGCTTAAGGAGATGGGGAAGATAGCTGAGAATGACATTTAACAAATAAGAAAACTATTTGACTCATTGGACAATAGTCAATGTGGCAAAATTACTCTTGTCGACCTGATGGAAACTGCCTAATGCAGAAGTCAATTCTATAAAGAGAAATATTTTCCCAATTTTCCTTACCTTGGCAACTGCTACTTGCTTTGGTCTTTATTTTTCAGATAAGATGGTCCAGCATTGCCACCAGTTATTGTCCACAAACTTGATCAAGCAAAGGACTTGTAGAGGTTAGAATTAAGACCATAAGAGACTGCATGATCCATACCTCATATGGAGTCCGCTGGACATTTCAAGTCAAGTGCAAAGGAAATCTGGGACATGATTGATTTTATCACATTTAACAAGAAGTCTAGAACAATTTGGAAAATTTTAAGTGGCAAATCCACTTTCAATAATAATTCAAGCATATAACTCATAAGTTTAGGAGTTCAACATACATTACCACGTTTTTCCCCCTCCAGCCAACATTCATTGCCATTACAGTGGAATTAGATGTTCAATTAGGGAATTACAGTATTACCAGAACTAGCACATTATTGTTTCATCACAAGATGGTCAAGAAATATGGTAACTATTTGTTAACTATACTCATGACAATGTGTTGCTAGAATCAACAATGTACAAGAATTGATAATTAGATTTTTATCAATATTTTCAGAATCTCCCACTACAATAAGTAGGAAGAGCCACATAAACAAATGAAATGAACATTTGCATATAGTGTTACTAAGTGAGCTAGAACAAGATATATTGCAAGCTAGACCACGTAGGACAAAAAAAGTGCTTCACGCATTAATGTTTTCAAAGACATATTACGTAGAAACAACCATGCTCCATGAAATAGCCTATCTTATAAGCTAAGAAGTTAACTTTGAGAACATACATGAACTAATCTAATTAGATAATATCTTGCTTATGTATTGCATGGGGCAAGACACTAGTTCATTTTTAAAAATATCTAGTGTCCTAATTCAAATTTTGATACCTTCTTCCCCTCACATTCCCAACAATTATTTCCCATTTATTTAAATTTTAAGATATTTTTAAATAAAATATTAAATATTAATAAATTTTATTAAATACCTTCATCAACTTTATTTTTTTAAAATAAAAATATAAAATTTTAAAGATATATTTTATTTAATATATTAAAAAGAGAGGAATGAAAATTAGAAAAAGAAAAAGAGTAATATTAGAATAAGCTTGTTTAATAAAATTTTAATTTTTTTAAAGTATTTTATATTTATAATGGGGGAGTATATAAAATTTGAGCAAATTCCTTAATAATTACACATAAAATTTATTTTTAAATAAATAATTTGAAACTCCATAGTAGTTTATGTATTGCATAGGATCATGTGATAATTAGAAGGGAAGATAATAATAAAATCTCTTTAAATTAATTAAATGATATTTTAATCTTTTAAAATGTCATAATTTTTTTTTTAAATTTCTAGAGATTTTTTATATTAAAAAATTAATATAAATGATTAAATTGTCTTTAATTTAAATATCAATTGCCATTGTCATGTTTTGTTTTAAAATTAATAACTTTTCTTATTAAAATACAATAATTCAATATCAATTCACAAGTTTACATTTTAAATCTTGATATTTCTTAAGTGTTGCAAATACCAACTGTTATTCATAAGTTTTATTTCAAAATTCATAATTTTCTTTAAAATTACAAAATTCAACCACAATTTATAAATTTAAATTAAAAATAATTTAATTATTTATATTAATTTTTTAATAATAAAAAAAGTTTTTTAAAGAATTTAAGAAAATAATAAATTTTGAGAAATTAAAATATTATTTATATAATTAAAAAAAAATTCATACGAGGTTTTTATTGTGATTTTCCCAAACAAATATAGTAGTTATGGGGTTTGGCGGTTCCCCGCCAGCAAACAAAGCCTTAATGCTTGAAGCAGGCCGCGATTGCGACGGAGCTCCTCTTACGACGATGCAGGCGGCAGAAAACGACCAGTACGACGCCGAGAATCCTACGAATCCCGAGGGCGGATCCCAGCAGCCACTCTCCAAGAATGCCCAGAAGAAGCTGCTGAAACAACAGAGGTACGAAGCGAAGAAGGCGGAGAAGAAAGCCCTAATAAAGGAGCTGAAGAAGAGAGAGGCAGAGAGGAAGCGGAAGGAGTGGGAGGAAAGTCTCGAAAGTGTCACTGAAGAGGAGAGACTGAAGCTGATTGAGTCGCGAAAGAGTCTTAGGAAAGAGAGAATGGAAAAGAGGTCGGAGGAGAAAGAGATGAAGAAGGAAAGGCTAACGAAGGCCAAAGAGTGCGGGCAAAATGTCGTCATTGATCTTGAGTTCTCACATCTCATGACTCCTACTGAAATCAACAGCCTTGTTCAGCAGGTCTTTTTTTCCTTAATAACTTGGCTGCATTTCTTTCCTTTTTTTATTTTCCTTCATCATTGGATTTTGTCATAGTGAACTTTTACTGATTTAATTTCTTTTATCTTCTCATTTTGGTACATCCGTAGAAGTTTCTCTTCATGTTGCTTCTCTTATTTCATTCAAGTTTGATATCTCGAATTTTTTATTATGTTAGCCCTTTGAAATTCTAGTATTCTTTACAGATTGTGTAGGATTATTTTTTAGGTTGTTTCAAATTCTGTTGTTCTGAATGGATCAAGTAGGATTGCTTTGTTGTGAAATCAATAAAGTACGGAACAGTTAATTTAGTATTCATTAGTATCCTAATCGAGTTCAATTGGGTGGATAATGCATTTTCATCCAAAGGATAGCGTGCGTGGGAGGGCAAGTGTGCCATGTGGACGAAAAGTAGTGATTGGGATTGAGAAAAGATGGACGTGGTAATGTCTGCTGGGAGAAATGGAAAGTGAGGAACTGTGCCAGTGGTGGGCAGTGTAGATTTCATCCTTGAAAGATGAGGTTAGGCCTGCCTAATTACTGTAATACTGAGAAAAACCGCATTGGGGAGGAAATAGTCAATTAGTTTCGATGATGAGATGGATAGACCTTGGTCATCTGTTGCTGGGGAGCATAAAACTTAAGGCAGTCTTTGAGATCTTTTGGGTTAGTTTCGATTTAATTAGTCAAGTCAAGACTCAAGTGATTGATTACTGTAGCTGAGTGCAGAGATAGATGTAAGGTTATGATATGAAGGGTGATATAGACAATTTTGATTTCTAATATTGTTTGTTAAGGTGATGAGTTGAAGACAAAGAAATTGCGCCTGATTGTTTGTCCAGAGATTTTTGTTGTTTTGTGGTTTAAAGATCAAACCATTTCAATACTCTGGCTTTGGAATTTGTTTGAATGGGAGAATGAGTTAAGTTGTGTGTTCTGCATTAATCATTTGACTTTAGAAAATCATGGGTCTTAGCAAAAGCAACTTGATGTCATCTCATGATTATAGTATTATTTTCTCCATTATTCAATTTTGGGCTTCATATGCATATTTCCTCCTTGATCTCCTTCCAATTCTTGGTTATTTTACACCTTTGGCGTATCTAGCCTCCTTGTGCTGCCCTCTTAACTCGAAGAAAAAGTATTGAACCTTATGAATCCCATTTATTTCTTTCGATTTTTGGTACGGGGGCAATCTTAGTAATCATGTCCTTACTAGATCTCAGATCTGTTTTTGATTTTCATTGAATCTGCAGATTATGTATTGTTATGCAGTGAATGCAAGATGTACTTCTCCTGCTCATCTCTGGCTGACGGGGTGCAATGGGGAAATGGAGAAACAACTTAGAAGGCTTCCGGGGTTTGATAAATGGATTATTGAGACAGAAAGTAAATCCTATATTGAAGGTTTACAAGAACACAAGGAAAATTTGGTGTATCTCACAGCAGATTCAGAAAATGTTCTTGAAGAACTTGATTTAAAGAAATTTTATATTATTGGTGGTTTGGTGGATCGGAATAGGTGGAAAGGCATAACTATGAAGAAAGCCGAAGAGCAAGAAATCCAGACAGCTAAACTCCCAATTGGAAACTACTTGAAGATGTCTAGTTCTCAGGTATTACTTGTCTAAACTCATTTTCACTCCATATTTGGTATACAAAAATTGAGTTAATATTCAAATTTTTCTTTATACGCCCACATATAGCATAGAAAGAGCGACTGCTAGAGCAGAACATGTCAAATTTGGTGCGCATTATAACATTTCTGCGTTGATCCACCCTTCATGAATTGCTTCTGTTGCCCACCGGTGAATATTTTGTGCGCATTGCCTTTTGAACGTTGGATTGATTTCGCTGTTGAATTGGTTGCAACAAAATGTGTACATAAAAAATCAATGGATGTGTTTTAAGATCTCAACCTGAGTAGCTGCATGCTTACATACAGTGATCTTCTTCTGAGACTGCTCTTAGCTGGCAGAGAGTATTATTTTTGTTCATAACTGACAGAGTGATGGCATTTGTTCTCCTTTCATCTTAATTCTTAGCCCAAATCTTTTCTCACTTGACCTTACAGGTTCTCACGGTAAATCAAGTTTTAGAAATACTACTCAAGTTCTTGGAGACAAAGGATTGGAAAACTTCTTTCTTCCAAGTTATCCCGCAAAGGAAAAGATGTCTAGGCGATTTAGAAGACGATGGAGAAGATAAGGTGGAGGAGGAAAATGAATCAAAAAATGATCAATTGGCAAGTAAAAGGGAAAATATTGAAGTCCTCTGAAACAGTTAGAGATTCTGCCTCGAATTTTTCCCGTAAAAAATCAAGACGCGTCAATGTGAGTTTGAATTCCATGCGCATCCTCTTCAGCAGGCTCGCAGAATGAGCTTCGTTCTTCTTCTTTTTCGTGTGTGTTTGGATTAAAAAATTTACAATTGAAGTTAAGATTCAACTGAGGTTAGCAAACTGAAGTTAGAAGAAAAGTCAGTTAATGTAACGTAATTTATGTTTGGATACCTTTTTTTTCAAAAGTTAGTTAGATAAATTGAAACTTGTTTGGATGATTTGATTCAAAAGTCAGTTGAGATGTTTAATGACAAAAATAAGTATGAATTTTTTTATCTTAAATATTAAGTTTTAAATAAGCATGTTTATATTTTTTGATTAACTAATAAGTAAAAAATATTAAACTTAAAATCACAACTAATAAGTAAAATATCTTAAATATTCAATCATGAAAATCTAAAATAAATTAATATTTAATTGATATTTAATTATATCACGAACACGCTGCATCTGTCTTGACGATTTGGATAGATTTGACAAGGATGCCTCACTAATATTGGTATCTTACTCATGAATATCTACACTTTCATCTTCAGATTGCATGAATTGCTCATCAGTAATTGAATTTCTCCTAATAAAGTTATGCATTTTTATTGTTACACAAACAATTTGAACTTGTATTTTATATCTAAATTTAGGCATTTTTTATATAATTGCAAACCGATTCTTCCACACTTCAAAAGTTCTTTTTATAGTGCATTTTAAATTTGAATGATAATACTTCCACACTCCAAAAATAAATGTAATGGCTAGGAAATTTAGGAATTTTAAAAAATGTGATAAATAATTTTTTTAGCAAAAAAAAAATTAAAATAAAATGATCAATTGTTCTTGTTGGTATTTTGACTTAAATGTTAGTGAAATTCATAATATATTATATATGGACATGCAATGATTTAGAAAATAATTATGATATTAAAATTATTAATAACATGTTTTGATGATATTTTTATAACTTTATAATTTTAAAATAGATGCAACAAGAAGTTATTGGCTTGATGGAGTCTGTACTTGTCGCCTACATATTGTTGAGTCTCCGCAGCGATAAGGGAGAAATTTTATTTTGCTCTAAACACTACAAAATTACCAAAATACCTTTTTTAGAAAAAAATCAGATTTTCTCCCCTATTTCCCATTTCACTCGTGTTCTGCATATAAAAAAAAACAGGGAGTAGGAGACAGCTTCAAAAAAACCCTTTTCGATTCTTCTCTTCCGTTCCCAATCGGAGTGATTTTCCAACCATTCTTCCTCCTCCATCATCCTCTATCTCCTTTGTTCTTCTTGTTCGTTTTGTCGATGAGCGCGTGCGCAGAGGAGTTCAGTTTGTCGCTATTAAGTTCATGGATTCTTCTTCTTTCTCCATCATATTCTATAGCTGATTCCTCCTAGCTTTTTTTAAAACTAGTCGACGCTGCTGTGTGTGTGGGTGTGCACGCAAAGCTTCCATTGTTCTTCCTTCGCATCGCAAATCATCCACCGTAGCTGGTCTCTGTTTGGATGGTATTTTTTTTCCTGTTCTCTCATGCTAGATATGCTAAAGGCAGAGCTCGAATAGATAAAAGACAAGAGAGAGAAAGCATAAAAATTTAAAACGCATTTAATGCTTCTAACGGGCAGCAACGCTAACGTTGAGAACCAAAAGCCAGGTTAGTGGGCTTCTTGAATAACGCTCGTTTGCATGCTAACTGAGGTTGAAAATTTATGATAATCCAAACAAGATTTTTTTAACATTTTACATCCTAACCTCAGTTTGACCCACTCCAACTAAGGTTAGAGTGCAATCCAAACATTCTTTTTATACAAAAAGGTTTAGGCAAATCAGGTTCCGGTTATTTATCAAGGTTAAGACATACTTTCAAGCGTTTACAGATTGCACATGAGCAAGGTTTTCACATTAGCAGTGAATTTTAAAATCACAACCTTGTGGGTTAATGAGCTTTGTTCTTGTTTGCATTAAATGTCGTGCCTTCTTGATTTGGATGTGAAATGAAAAATATCTTTTTCGGAAAATGATTCTCGGCATTTGTTTTTGTTTTTTGTTTTTTATCTTTTCGGGTGAGATTGAGTTATGTATGAGGGCTTGCCTTAAATATAAAATGGTCAGATTGAAAATTGGCAAATGTCCTACATTCTTTGGCACTCATATGTCAATCACCCCTTTTCCCCCATTCCTTTGATGCTTGGTTAATCTGCTCATATAAAATCCTTGAAGTGGGCATTAAATTTTGGATAATTAGATATTTATTACTAAATTAAAGCTTAACTATAACTTTAGTGCGCTAATAATCTAAAATTGTAAAAATTCTTTTGTTTAATATTATTAATCGATATCACTATATCAATATTTCTTATATATATATATAATCTATAAAAAAATTATTTATAAGTTATAAAAAATGTACTTGAATTCAAAATTTATGTAATGGTTGAGGTCATATATGATTTGAACTTTATTTACGTTTTACCAAAAAAAAAATTGTAAAGATTTGATTTATTGGATTTGGAGGAGAGGGGAATGAAGGATTTTCCTCCTCTCCCCTCATTTGGTTTTAAAAAAATGTTGAGGGCCTGGAAGGAAAAAATTTTTCAATTTCTTTCCTTCAAGAGATTAGAATGGAGGGGCATAGCTAAATTTTGTCATGATTAAAATATGTTTATAAAATTTTAAGGAATGGATTTTCCAAAATTAAGAATATGTGAATTTGATGAATTTTTTTAAGAAAGAGAATATTTTTTATTTTATAAAAAATAAAAAATGAGAAAAAATATTAAAGGATGAAAGCTTCAACAAATTTATAAATATCAACTGTAGAAAATTTAAGTCCTAATTTTTAATATTCCTAGAAGTACACTTAAAAAAATCTCACAACCTTGTCACTCATGTTTTGCTTTTGCTTCTGCTTCAAGTTTCCATCCAGCCATGAGTTATTAATGTGTTAGAAATTTTAAAATTAATACACGATTAAAGTTATTGAAAAATGCTTGATATTCGTCGAATTGTATATATAAATAGTTACAGGGATTTGATTGCTTAATTTAGGATGCCATTAAAACAAGATTTTATTCAGGAAAAATTAAATCTAGGACTCATTAGAAAATTTATTACCAAGAGGTCTTTTGAAATTTACAAAATACTCTTAAGTTCAATATCTTGTGCATTTATAATTTAATTAAGAGTATTGATAATTGGGTAACAGCCATTCACAATTTGTACATGAATTCGCCTTTGCCCAATTATTAATGCTTTTAATTAAGTTGCAAATGCATAGAATATGAGATTTAAAAGTATTTTATGAATTTTGTGAGACTTTTTGACAATAAGTTTCTTTGTGTAAAATCTAGATTTAATTTTTTTCTTGTGTTTTATGTCCCATCTCAGTAAAATAAGGGTGTGGGTGTGTTGCATGCATGTTTATGATTGCTACAATTTTTTCTCAGCATTTATGATTTATGATTATTGCAATTATAACCATAGGGGTTGGATTAAGAATATTGATATGATTAACTACTTCAAAAAGCATCATAAAATTATTCAGAACATAAAAATAAATAAATATTCACAGCACAAAAAAAAATTTATTCTATGCAAGGAAGTATGGTTAATACTTAGTAATGAAAGTGTGTAAAATGATTATTAAATTGTTAATGACCTCATAATTTAATGATATGAAAACTTTTTTATAAATGAAAGGTCGCGATTTTGATCTCCCTTATAATCTTAAGTTATTAGTGCTTGCTCTTTTAATTTTTTTAAAAAATGATTATTGGATCTAAAGGAAGGAAGTGGAACATACGTATATAATTGACTTCAACAACCACGAATTATCTCTCAACGTTGAATATTAGCAAAATATTTCTTATGATTGATTTACTTGGCAATAAATTCATAGAAACATTTATATAAATTGTTATTGAAAAGAAATGCCGATTAGCTTCCATAGCATAGTGGTAGTGCGTTCGCTTCGTAAGCGAAAGGTCGCGAGTTCGATCCTCGCTGGGAGCTTTTGTATACATTTTTGACTGCACATTCTGAATGTACGAAGTTCGAATAGGTGATTATCATCTGCTCTCATTTTTATCACCACCGCATGATGATTATGAAAACAAATATCTTATCCAATTTGTAAATTTAATCAATATCTCTTTAGATCAGAAAATCCAAACACAAGCTGAAAAAAGCTTAGAAAAAAAGAAAGAGGCAAAAAACCAAAAATAAAAAAAAAAACAAGAAGAAGAAAAAAAAAACAAAAGAAAACCCGGCAAGCCCCTCTTCCTTAACACATGCATAATCACAATCATCATTCTTCCTAGATTTCCCTCATCATTATCAACCAACTATAATCGCCAGAATCGCCGCCGGCTAGCGTCGTCATTATTAGACGATCTCCTTCAAGGTTCACTTGTATTGTCCATTTGGTTCAGCTTGTGATGAAGACCCTCCATTATTATTCTGCGCATGCTCCCTCATATACCCTCCAATGGCTCCAAAGTACCCATTGGGATGTGCAACGTGAAACGGCGGCACAAAACCTCCCAAGGCCGCTGTGGCCCCATACGGTGGCTCCACTGTGCGCTTGCCGAGTGGCTCGCCACGCATGGAGGCCCGGTCACCCTCCATCTCGCGGTACCGATGAAGGTACATGGTGAGGGGCTCGATGTAGTCGTCGAACCCAAGCTTACTCATGGCCCACAGCACGTCCTCGGCGGTGATCGTCTTTCGCTGCTCCCTCTGGCACCGCTCGTTGGCCTCACCGGTGATGAAGCTAATGTACTCCGACACGCACTCTTGTATGGTCTCCTTGGCGTCGTCGGAGATCTTTGCGTGCGGAGGGAGGATCTTGCGCATGATTCTGATGACGTTGGCGATCGGCATAAACCTGTCTTGCTCCCTCACGATGCATTCGTTGTCGTCAGCCGCAGTGGACGAGGACGACGAGTGGTTGTGATTGTTCATGGTCTCTGATACTGATACTGAAGAAGATAGCTTCAACACTGTCATGACGTTAATAACTATATGAAACCACCATATGCTTCAACATAGAAGCTTCTTTATTTTTAGTTATATTAAAAAAATAAAAAGATGAAAATACATATAAAATTTGAATTCTTTTAATCTATATAAAGAATTTAATTATGCATGATAATAATAAATTAATAATTACAACCGCATTCCACCCCCCAATAGTATTATTTATGAAGTATTTTTGCAGGTGGCAAAAGAATTACCTTTATACATATCATAGGTTCCCGGAAAATCCTTTATTCTCCCTCTTAACATATTATATAGAGTTAATCTATAGCTATAGAAAATCCGAACATGATTATATATAACTCAATATTCTAAGATTTCATCCATAAGACAATTTTATTCATATTCAACATTTATATAAACTAACAAGACTTGAATTTGTGTATGAGTAGAAAAAAGAACGAATTAATTTGTACATTTGTGTGCATTGCTTCTTGTGGATCTTAAATGAGAAAAATAAAGTTCGAGGGTAGACACATATACATAGAGATAAGAATGAGAATCAGTATAAATAATCTTGTGAATAATGATGAAAACGACCCGGGGGGAGGGGGGAGGATCAGAGACCAGACCATGTATTTGTAAATAGGATATGACGAAAAAACTGAAGAAAACGACAGGAAGGCAGCGATAATAGAACCCCGCGTTTTGAAAGTGATTAAACGAATGAAAACTGCTTTTCATTTTCATGTCGTCTTGCTTCATCTACTGATCAGTCTGAGACTGAAACGCATTTCAAAAATGGGGTGGGTGACTGTCGTAATGAACCTATAAACTTAATATGGTCCTAACTACTTTTTTTTACCCAAAAATATTATTTTAGTTGTAGTAGTAGAATAAAAATATAAACATAAATATTATTGTGTACATAAATTTTGTCAAATGAAATCTCAAACTTGGAGGCAAAAATTTATTTAAAATGCACATAAAATAAATTCTCAGTATTTCTTAAGCTTTCAAGATACTTTTAAAAGGCTGCCGCATCCTGTGGTAATTGGTAAAAGTGAATAACAAAACAGAGGTGAAATATTTTAATCCTCTTAATATAACAAAAAATAATAAAAATAAATAATGAAAAATATTTGTAATTAATATGATAAACACACACACGCACACATCGTTTCTCAAATTTTATGTAATGAAATCTGTGTTGGTTATGTTTGAATACTAGTATTTTTTTTTTTCAATAAACTCTTCATGACTCAACAAATCGAACGAACTATTAAAAAAGACTCCACCTTATTCATGAATTGAATGAGAATTCTTTTTGACCAGAATTAAATGAGACTCACATCACGTTCAAACACAACTCATTTGATAATGAGACGACTTTGAACGAAACAAAATTTATTAAATAAAAATACACAAGAAGAAACAGTGAAACCGCCCCAACCCCCCAAAAAACACACACAAAGGCAAATAGAGAAATTGCAATTGGAGGTTTTGAAAAAAAAAAACGAAGAGGAAGAAAGTGCAGTGAGAGGATAGTGTCCAGAAATTCTTAGAAACACGTTAAAAGAGTCAACAAAAACTCAAAATGTGTCAGTCAACTTTATCTCTTAATTGTAACCAATTTTTTTCCTTTCTGTTGACTTATTAGTAATTCGTAATTTAACAAATAACTTGCCCAGCAATAAGTTATCATTACAGATCGAATAACTTGTCTTTCTATATTATATTTAACAAAAAATCTCTCAAGTAGAGACACATATAAATACATTGATCACAATGCATGAACGCCACTTGTTTGTTATTCTCAAGTCTCAAGTCTCAAGTCTTGAGTCTTGAGTCATAAGCTTACATGCATGCATGCGTGCCACTTGTTCATTTCTACACTACACAGCCAATTTATGTCTTCTTCTTCTCCATTTACTTTACTGTTCTTGGACAATGCAGAAAAACATTGCTAGAGACAAACACACACACACACACACACAAACACACAAAAACAAAACAAACAAACACTTATTGATTAATTCATAAGAGGAAAACAAAGATCAGACGGATGATCAGATCAGGAAAGAACAATGTGTGTGTGTGTGTGTGAACTGAAGGTGGAAACTTAAATGAATTTCCTTGCATGAGCAAGAAAAACTATGAGATCATACAGACTCTGTGTCTGTCTCTGTTTATGTCATGAGATATCGTGCATGCAAGAGACGATGAAATCCAGAGGCGACACCTTGATGTGAGAATAATTATAACTTCATTGGAACAGACTTGGCCATGGAAGCAAATTAATCCAATGACGACTCACACGTTCGACATTTTACCTGGAGAAGTGTTATTAGTGATCTTGCGGTATCCATGAAAGCCTCCAGATTCCATTGGAGCTACGCCAAGGAGACGAGGAAGGAATGAGCGAAGAAGAAGAGGAGAGGGGCTTCTGGGGAACTGAAGAGAGAGAGAAAATGAGAGAAACTATTAGACGTTGGAGGTACTTGGCAAGTGTCTGTTATTTATAGTGCTCAAAGTTGCAGATAACGCGTGTCGATGTGGGCGACGTGAACGAGGAAACTGCCAAACTGGCAATAGCCGGTGAAAGTGGTCAAGAGAATGACAGAAAGAATTAATTGATTTAAGTTAAATCATAAATGTTAAATTTTAAAAATTTACAACCTAATCTCTTAATTTTATAATTTTATTATAATAAATTTACAATTTGCATTCAAATTTTAACATAAAAATAATTTTTTTATTCTTCAATCATGGTAAAATTTAAAAAATAAATTGCAAACCATATTAAAATTTAAAAAATACATTATAAATTCATCATAATCTAATTATAAAATTGAGAATTTGAGTTATAAATTTATAAAATTTAATATTTAAGACCTAATTTAAATTAATTGATCATTTTAAGGCTCTTTTTGTCATTTTCCCTTCAAGTCTTTCGCTAAGTTGGGCTAGTTCAAATAAGCTTAAAAATTTTAAAATTAGGATAAAAATTTATAATTTTTTTACAAGAAGTTCGGGAGAAGGCTGAATGACTAAATTTTTTTATTATTAATAAAATAAAAATTTAATTTTTTAGAATAAAAATTAAAATTAATGAAGAATAATTTTTAATATTTCGGTTATTTAGATCCACTCAAGTAATTAAATCAAAAGCCCAATATTAGAGCAAAACTTGAGTCTATATGAGTTTTGGCAGAATTACCTGGCGTGTTGGGGAAGCTGACTTGACCGACAGGCCTGGGTTGGAAAGACTGTCACGTGAGGTGTCAGTCATTGGTGGCAAGTTTCTTGCTTTTCCAAGCCGAAACTTCATCGAGAAAGAGCCTATCAATGTTTTGACCAAAACAAAATGCAAACTGAAATAAGAGTGGAAGCGTGAAAAAACACTCTCAAATAAAAACCTAGGTGAGCTGGTCATTAAAGAAAACAAGCAACCTTGGCGCCACATGTGGGGCTTGTTTGATTACTTTTCCTGATATTTTTGTATTTTAGAACAAAAATAAAAAATGTTTATTTGATAAGATGTTTTTGGTAGAATATTCTAAAGAAAAAAAAATTCTTGTGTGTTATGTGAAGTAAAAAATAACATCTTCTAGATGTTCTTTTATTCAGGAGAAAAATAAAGGAATCTTAATTTGTTCTACAAGCCCAAAGGAGTAGTGTGCAAATATATTTTAAGATCAAATGATAAAAATGCCCCTACTTTGGAGAAGAAAAATGGGCATGCACAAAAACACTCCATCACACAAAAACGAGCGACTATAGTTAACTTCCTCTTCACCTTGGTAGCGTCATCTAAAGGAATAAACAAATTTGAAGAAGAAGAGGAGAAGGAAGAAAATAGTTAAGAGAAGAAGAAGGGAAGGAGAAGACGATTAAAATGGAAAAAGAGGAGCAGGAATAGCATAAAAGAAGAAGATCATGATGATGAGAAATTTGCTAAAGAAGAAGAAGAGAACAAATCGGAAGAAGAAAGTTACTTTATGTACAGTAGTTGTGTTCAATTTCATTGACAAGTGAAAGTTCACGTGTAAAAGTTTGGTATACCATGTTCTGATAGGTTGTATAAAATAACCTTACATATGCAAGCCATTGTTCTATATTTAACAATTAGGCATTCAAATATTGGAAAGTACGTGTCTGGATTTTTACAAACAAATATTTGGTTGTCACATGTGATATTGAATTATCTTTTTTCAAGTTACCCATAGAAATCAAGTAAAAGTTGTTGAATTGACAACTAGACATTCAAATTTTTATAACGTTCTCCAATTGTCACATGTTGCATTCAATTCTAATTATTTCAAGTAAACCATTAAAATATCAAGTAAAAGTTCATATATTGACAAGTGTGTGTTCGAATTTTGACAAGTAATATATAGTTGTCACATGAATGTATTTAATCTTTAAATAACTTCAAAGTTACCATTTAAAAATGAAAAGTAAAATTTTCATAATTGTCAAGTATGTGTATGGATCGGATTTTGTCAAATTCCATATAAGTTCCACAAATGGTGAAAGAAATTCTCTCTTCTTATTATATTAACGGTGTGCTATTGCATTTAATGTGGTATTTAGTATGGGGTTTGCATGTGGTACTTCGATGCAGATGAAATGGATTTTGTGTTGTGTAAAACACAATTCAATGGTGTTGACATTTGAATTGCAGTTGTAAATATACACATAGTTTAATACTTCCTTGCTAACTGTTTGGATCTGGAATTGCAACATGAGTAGAATTGGATTTTGTGACGTGAAATGTTGTAGATATTCAGATTGTAATGGTAAATTCAGAAACTTATGAAAGGCTTAGTGATTATTATAAAAGACGGAGGCTAGAGGTGAAGAAGAAATTGGTTTCTCTTGAAATTAAAACATTTGATGAGATGTGCCTAAAAATTTAAATAATCTCCTGAAGTAAGAGGGAGTTTGAGAAAGAGAAGAGGGATTCTCATTGTAGACCCTCCGCCTACAAGGGTTTTATTGGGGGAGTTGGAAAGAGGAGCTTTGGAAAGAGAAAGGGCTCATATCAAAGCGGCTAAGGTTAGAGAAGCTGTGATAGTGAAATTATGGATCTCAAAGGGGCCCAACACCTATTTGTGCTAGCAATCTCGCTTGTGATAAATGTGGGAGGTTCGACATTGGAAAATGCTATTCCAAAATTTTGAGGAGAATAGAAGAAGGCATTGATCAGAGATCTACCTTTCTTGATAAAGTTTTTACTCTCTTTCAGCAGAAAATAGTCAATAATCCTAAGATGATTGCAAGACTACCATATATCTTATTGTTTTGTCACTAAATAGCATGGATGTAATTGTAAGGATGAATTGGCTTTTGTGATGACTACCAAGGCCTGTTTGAATGTAGAAGTAAGGTTTGAGAATCACACGACTATCATAGATCTTATTGTTGTCATTGAATGGACATGGATGTAATTGTGGCGATGAATTACCTATGTAAATGTGAATGGGGCCATCCTAGATTGTCATATGAAGAGTACATGTCTCCCACAATTTTAAGTTTGCTACAGTTAATGTTGTACCAAACAAGTTCATTGTAATCATCATTGTATAGCATTCCAATCTAAGCCATCACATTCTATTAGAGGGTTTGTTTGCTTCACTGAAATTTTGATTTTAGAAAAGGAAAGAGACTGTGATTTTACATTTTTCTAGGTTTGTTGGTCATTAAATTGGATTCTTGAAAAATGATTTTCAAGGAAGAGAGTGGAAATTAATTTTCTGAATTTGACCGATGAAAAATGTAATTTTCTTGGGAAATTATTTTTACGGACCTAAATGGCCTTAACTTTTTCTTAAATTTTCCTGTGAACTCAACACCATTTCTTTAAAGCCTCGCAGTTCTAAAAGCTCCCATCATCTCCCTCTTCGATTTTTCTTCTTGTTCAAGATCTCTTGCCTTTCGATGATCAAGACCAAAATTTGCCTTCTTGCTTTTTGATGGAGAAAACCCATGCGCGGTTGCCACACGATTCACAATTTATGACAGCATCTTACGGTGAGCTCGACCAAGCGATGACGTGAGATGATAAGTTTTGTTGATTGTGGTGTTCTGACTATGGTGTGTCTTCATCTAAGGGCATTCTTGTCTTTTAATATATTATGTTTCTTTTCTATACTTGATTCTGTTCAAATTTTCAGTCATAGCAAACGTATTTTTGAGCTGAACTCCAATTCTTTTTTCTATTCTAATTCCAAATGCTTTTCCAGTTTCATTTCTTTGAAAATGCTTCCAGCGAAGCAACGGGTTACAAACATATACATGGGCATATGGGCACTGTGTGTTTGCTTTTGATATCAATGAGTTAGTGGATTTAGTTGGGCCTGATATACGTTGCTTGTTTTACCTGAACCAAACTATGATATTCATGTGTTGTTGTAATTATTTGTGTCTTTTATGTACCAAAAAAAAATTGTATGTATCGTTTTTGATTCAATGTTATTGAATTTATTTGATGCATTTTTTTAGAAAGCCAAATCATCTGGAGATTACGTTTTCAAAACCAACGTGGCGTTTTTCAACATATATTATTTTAACATTAAAATTTACAAACATTCGTTATAAAATTAGAAAAGAATTTTTTTTAAAGAAGTCATTCAATGCATTCAATGAATTTTATATGACAATACATGGTATTTGTATGAGAGAGAAAGATCATATGAATGGGTATTCACTTTCTCCCTTTCTTAATTAATTTTAATTTGTTGTTATTTGGATAGATAAAAAGAGAGTTTGGATGTTTTTCCGTTGTATCAAAAAAAAAAAAACAGGGAGAGAGAGAGAGAGAGTTTGGATGAGATTAGGAGAGGAGATCTTCTCTTTAAAGTGAGTGTATTTAGGCAATTTTTGATCTCTATCTCTCTAATTACAAGATATGCATTCACCTATTAAATGTTAATAAAATCCGAATAGGAGATACATAGAATCAAAGGTTTAAATGTCAATTCAAAACTTGCTGGATAAATATAATTAATTAATTAAAATTTGAATTTAGACCCTCAAATTTAATGGACAAGAACCATTTTTCAGTATTCACCAGCCTATTTATAAAACCATGTGGATGCATGCAGTTATACGGTGAGTCGCGCAGAAAATAGAAATCTCTACTCTGAAAAGAAAATGGACAACTCAGGCCAAAACAAAGAAAAGAAAATGGACAATCATTGTTGCGCCAACAACAAACTTGTAGCATCAATGCTTATGGTCTTGCTTCTTGTTTCTGCTATCATTGGTTTTCCTAACTTCATGAGTCCAGAACCTTCATTGTATTGGCTTCTCTGGTTTTGTTCTTTGCCTATCATCACCTTCTTGTATGCCTTTTACCTTTTCAATTTTGTTTGGTGAAGCTTTAATTTCTCTTGCATAAAGT